GTAAAAAAAAAAAAAAAAAAAAGAAATAGGATCTTGCTTTTTCACCTAGGCTGGAATGTTCAATGGCATGATCATAGCTCACTGTAGCCTCCAACTCCTTGGGCTCAAATGATCCTCCTGGCTCAGTCTCTTTTTTTTTTTTTAACTGAGACAGAGTCTCACTGTGTAGCCCTCAGTAGAGTGCTGTTACATCATAGCTCACAGCAACCTCAAACTCGTGGGCTTAAACAATTCTCTTGCCTCAGCCTCCCAAGTAGCTGGGACTACAGGCGCCTACCACAAAGCCCAGCTATTTTTTTTGTTGTTGCCATCGTCATTGTTGATTTTAGCAGGCCTGGGCCAGGTTCAAACCTGCCAGCCTTGGTATATGTGGCTGGCGCCCTACCCACTAAGCTACGGGCGCTGCCCATGGTTCAGCCTCTTGAGTAGCTAGGAATATAGGTACACACAACCATGCCCAGCTTATTTTTACATTTTTTATAAAGGTGGAGTCATGCCATTTTGCCCACGCTGGACTTGAACTCCTGGGCTCAAGTGATCCTCCTGCCTCCCAAAGTGCTGAGATTATGAGCATGAACCACCACACCAGGCCCCATGTACCATGTATGGTTTAAAGACCTCCATTAATTGATTAGGGGAAAATGTGAAATGTCCAGATTTGGTTTTTACAAGAAGAATAAAAGATGCCAAAAATTTTGCTAATTCACCTTTAGGATTCAATTGAATTGTAGTGAAAAAAAATGTATAGTTTTTGAGACAGAGTTTGACTTTGTCACCCTTGGGTAGAATGCCATGGCATCATAGTTTACAGCAACCTCAAAACTCTTGGGCTCAAGTGATCCTTCTGCCCTAGCCTCCCAAGTAGCTAGGACTATAGACATTTGCCACAATGCCTGGCTATTTTTAGAGGTAGGGTCTTGCTCTTGCTCAGGCTGTTCTTGAACTCCTGAGCTCAAGCAATCCACCCTCCCCAGCCTCCCAGATTACAGGCATGAGCCACTGCATTTGGCCCAGTAAAAATATTTTTTTTTTTTTGAGACAGAGCCTCGAGCTGTCCCCTTGGGTAGAGTGCCATGGCATCACAGCTCACAGTAACCTCCAACTCCTGGACTCAAGCGAGTCTCCTGCCTCAGCTTCCCAAGTAGCTGGGACCACAGGCGCCCACCACAATGCCTGGCTATTTTTTTGTTTGCAGCCGTCGTTGTTGTTTGGCGGGCCCAGGTTGGATTTGAACCCGCCACCTCAGGTGTATGTGGCTGGCGCCTTAGCCACTTGAGCTAGAGGTGCCAAACCAGTAAAAATATTTTTAACAGCATTTCAGCTCAGGAATACAGGCAAAAGTTCGTTTTAATTTGTACTGTAGGTTTCTTTCAACTAGTGTGTTGCAATGTTGCTGACATTGTAGAAAATAATTCCTAAAGATATTTTATTTATTTATTTATTTATTTTTGTAGAGACAAAGCCTTACATTATTGCCCTTGGTAGAGTGCCATGGCGTCACACAGCTCACAGCAACCTCCAATTTCTGGGCTTAGGTGATTCTCTTGTCTCAGCCTCCC